ACAACAGCAGTTAGAAAGGGAAAGGCCGGCCACCTCCACTGAGACCAGTAGAGGGACCCTTAAGGCCGCGGCCACCAAACACAGTGCGGTAAAGTCCAAGGCGGTCAAACCGTTGGCGGTGTTACAGTGCATTGCAGAGAGTATCGAAAGCACACCTGAACACGGCACAGAGGACGCAAGTCAACAGAGCATGCTCTGCGGGCATACTGGCCTAGTCAGCCTGGCAGAAACCCCCGTCCCCATGGGCATCAAAGAAGATCCCCACTCACCGGACGAGGATCCCCGAAAAGAGGGCGCAGACAAGCAAATCAGCCCTATTGAGATTGCCCTTGGCGAGGAAGGGGACCATGCTGGGCTCGCGGAGGCCGACCTTACAGTACAATCCGAGCAGAGAGCGATGCAAGAGTTGTACCGCTTTCAGAAGCACTCGATGCCAACAACGCAAACAGAGGGTGTCGAGAGTGCATCGGTGCAGACCCAGCCGACAGCCGCAAAAGCTGCACAAGCTGCACAAGATCAAGCTGCACAAGCTGTTGAGCTAGACCAGCCACCCTTGGCGCCCCCTGTTGCATTGTATGCCAATCTGCCCACTGAATGGCCCCTAGCGCGTATTAGTGTCTACACGCGCCACATTAGTGTCCTCCTACGGGTTACGCTCAATAGAAGACTTGCGGAATTAAGCTTCAGAGGTAGTAGGTTGCGCGCAAGCTCGTTCCAAAAGATGGTTTCAATGCGATTTGATGGCATGCATTGGAAACAATACATCGACCTTTTCTAGGGTTCGTTTCACCACATCGGCAGTGAAACGGTCCCTGACCTGCTGAGTCCACTGCCTAAAGGCACAGAAGGGGACACAGTCGGCACTTTCGACTCTAGACTCTAGACACAAGACCTGTGTGAGTCTTGCAACGGGACTTGTGGCGCACAGTCTTGTACAATAACAACGACCCGAGGACCCACAAGCAAAATCGAAAATCACAAAAGCCACGACCATGGCAACATGCTCCTCACCGTGGCATGAAAACAAAAGTATTGAAATGTCACGGCGGGGATCACTGTCCCCCAAATTCATAAGAAATGCGGGCGCGGTGGCGTGTGCGGTGGTGTGCGGTGGCGCGCGGTGGCGCTTAAAGCTTTGAACTGGACAGACCAAAACTTCAAAGAGTAAACTAACAAACTTTTTTGTTTTTGTTTTTGTCGAAAAAACACTGTGCAACAAGCGCTTCAGCAGGCAACTTCACCCTTGAGCATCTGTTTCCGACTCGCAGGCCAGATCAAGGCCATCCAGAACGATCTCAGGCCAAATCAAGGCCATCTAGAACGATGAGAAAGCCGGCAAAAGCTCAAACTCAAAAACAAACAGAACAGTTGAACAGAACAACTATTCTACATGTGTGTCATGAGTCATAATGCTATTTTATTCTTTAACGGCAAGTTGAGCGCCGACGGCAAACGTCAAAAGCAAAAGAGCACTTTCAGTCGCCCTCACCAAAAGCCAAAGGCCTCTCAAGGTTGCAGGTCGAAGGCCAAAGAAGAGCCGTGAGCCATCCCACTGCGTTGGCACTGCGTTGCGCCAATGCCCCGAACTGAAAACCTCAAACCAAGCCAAGCCAAGGCCTCTTCCATTCTATACCTCGAACCTTCCCTGAAAGCTTCTTTGACTTTCAAAACTGGCAGCACGCACCGAAACCGCCACAGCCGGAGGGTTTGAGGGGCCACAAGCACCACCTGGCGGGCCTAAGGCTGAGGCGGAGGCAGCGGCTTAGGGACATCCACTGCCTCCACCTTGGCCTGCTGCTGCTGCTGAGCTGCTTTCCATGCGTCGAGCAAAGCTTGCCGCGGCGCCGAGGTGGACCACAGCAAGCTAGCATCGCCAGCACGCAACAGCACCGGCAAAGCTAAGCTGAAGGTCGTTGCTTTGCCCACTGCCGAGAAGACTCCAATCCATCCTGCAGGCCAAAACAAGGCTTCCGAGACAGTCAGCGTGTGAACCATGGCATGCGGCTTCAGCTGCTCACACTGCTCGGGCGTCAAAGCCTTCAGCTTCGAAAGCTGCGTCTCTGCTGGCAAAAGGCGGCCATCTTCGCCCACCAGGAAACTCAAGTCAGCGCAGGGTCGGAAAAGCAAGGCCTGCTTCTGGCCTTTGACAGCAACCTCAAACGAAGCCAAGTCATCATAGTCATACCCAATGTATGGCTTCGAACCCTGTGCAACCAAGCGGACGCCAGACACAGATCGACGGACCTTGTCATCAGATAGCTGGATGGTGCCCAAGTCAACCACAAGCTCTGCAGGCGCAAGGGAGCTCAAGCATTTCTGCGCCTCACCAGCATTGTCGGGCATGCACTTTGCCCTCACCAGAGAATCAGATTTCTCACTCAAAACTGATTCAAAGTATTCAGCTGACTGGCGCAGGCGAGGGTTCTCAAACCTTTCCCGCACCGGACTTTGAATGCCCTTGACTACAAAGGGCGTGTCCCACTTCAAGCCTGTGTCGGCGCGAAAAGCATCAGCAGACTCAAATCCTTGCACGGCCTTGCAACCCTTCAAGAACTCAGGCGCCAACAACGGAGTAGAATTCTGAAACCCCACCATCGAAGGCGATGAAGCTGCCTCAGTCCCATCATCTCCATTTGATTTTGGCTTCTTCTTGGCTTGAGCCTTCTGAGCTTTCTTCTCAGCAGCCGCTTTCTTTTCCAAAGTTTGCTTGTGGGCTTTCTGGTAGGTCTTGATGGTTGTGGCAATTTTCCCATACGCTTGGGCAACTGAGGCTTTCAAAGACTTCATCAGTTTTGTTTGCTCTTTCAAGAAACCATTGACGCTGAGGCTTTGCTCAAAAGTTTTCACAGCCTGGATCTTCGAGTCCCCTGCCGTCTCCAACTCTAACAGCGGCTCCAAGCTGCTCAAAGTGGGCATCTCCTCCGCCAGAGACACAGCGGCAGCTGAACCCAAAACAACCTGCCACTCAGCCATAGAGGTCGTCAGCCAAGAGTCCAAAAGGTGCAGGACATTGGTCGCCTTCACCTGCTGAGGGGCAATGGTGGCCATCTTGGTCAAGTGGTCCTGAACTTGCGGGGCAGCCGCATCTTCAGCCGTCAAGGCCAACTCCTCTAACTCCGAGAGCTGCTTCGCGCACTTGGCGGATGCATCCTGCCAAGGTTAACAAAACACATTCGCGGCAAAGAAAATCAATGGCAAAAAACAGGATATGTCTAGAAAAACTGTTTTACAACAAGATCTAGCTACAACCCTGGATATATCTAGAAATCTTGAACTAAAACATGTCCTTGGCTTCTGCCTGAAAAGCTGCAAGAGTCGCTGAAAACTGTGGAAGTCGCAGCGTCTTCCAAACATCTGGGTCAAAGGTCTTGGGAACCTTCGGATTCCTCCTGGGGTCATCCTCCGCAACTGGCTGAGTAGGATCGGGCAGCGCAGGCTGAGGCTCTACATCTTGCAAACTGCTCACAACCTCCTCCAAAGACTTGACAACAGACTGGCTCTTCCCAGCTGAAGTGTAGCCACTTGCGTTCACAAGTGAAGACCCGACAGCGGCAGCTTGGCCACCAGTGTAGGGCTTCCAGTCGTCGCTCAAGACACTGGAGAAGCCACTGCGGTTTCTCAAATCCTCCTGTAGTTCCTCCAAGTCGGCTTGCTTGAACTTTTGCTGCTTGCACTGCCTGGTCAGCTCATACGACTCTTCACGCGAGCGTGCCAGAGACTTGCTTTCCTTGGTTGGGCACCAGATGCGCATCTGCCCTCTGCGGTCTTTTGATGCACGCTCGTATTCGTCTGGATTAGAGACCATTTTGTTCCACTCAGCAATGGCCTCAGTCTCTGTCATGTCGTGGGTCATGACCTGCTGAGCAAACTGGACCCACTGTTTCTTTGTCATGGGTTCCCGCTCCTCGGTGTGCGATGCTGTCAAAGCCACCTTCTCCTTCTGCATGAACACCAGGAAGTCGAAAGACGCCCGCGGCAAATTGTTGCCAGGCGTCGGGCAGTTGGTCTTGAACTCCTGGCGTAGTTGACGGCTTTGCCCTTATAGCACACTTTCATAACGTAATGAAAAGTTAGTTTTGAAAGGAACTTGTGAACTTGTGTAAATTCAAACTCAACAGCCACTGTCCTCAACCAGCTTGAACCAAACAGTCTTGTCTGGCCGGCGGGCCAACTCTGCAACCTTCTTCTTCACCTCAGGATTCTTCTTTGCTTGCCGGAACAAGGCGTCGGTGGTCCGCTTATGGTCAGGGCAGTAGCATGTATTCTTCATTTTTGGTGTCTCCACGCCACACACCTTGACCGCGCACGCAGCAGAAAAATCTAAACTATTACAGCTCTTGGTGGACAGCCAGAACACTTTTCCCAGAAGGTTCCTGCTCCAATCTCCAAAAAAACCACAGCCCTCCCACCCAAAATAAAACAAGCAGAAGCAAGGCACTGGACAAGTCATTGACTCTCCAGCTTCCACATTGCGTCCACTCTTCTTAGGCTTCTTCTCGCGCGCAGCGCGAGCCTTAGCTTTACCAGCCGCGTTCTCACCACGGCGCTTGCTCCGCCCACGTTGACATGGACGGCTGGGAGACTTTGACTTTGAAGCTCCCTCCTTTGGGGGCGAGCCCTGGTCAGCATCAACCAGCGCAAGGTCAACCTCCATGTCTGCAGAGTCTGCAGTGGTCATCGGGCGGTCCGATTCAGGCCGGAACCGCTAAGCAAACTACCAAAAGCAAACAACTTGTAGAATTGTAAAATTGTCCTTGGGCCCAAGAAGAAAACGATACATCGGATTTGAGGCCTCGTATCCTATACAATTGCGGTGTTGCGATGAACGGCAACGCCCCGCACAGCGCTCATGACAGTTGGACATGTGTTCACGCGTAAACTGGAGACATCTGGAAACAAAAACACTCCGCACACCCACATCTCTCACATCTTTTAGTCAAAAAACACTGCAAACGCTGACATGTTGGCAGCTCATGTGCAACAAGCTTTTTCTAGTCGTAGCCTGCTCACTGCTAACTGCAAACTCAGCTCAAAGCTGCCCTAAGAAAAATTCATCGTCAGCCTCACCTTCTGGACTTTTCGCCCAGGTTGGGAGGTGACAGTGACAGGCCCCTCCAGTGCTTCACAGTCGCTTCCAGACGCGCTGCTGCGGCTGCCACTGCCTTTGCCACCACGCGCCCCTGCAGACGCCTTTCTCGGCGCAGAGGAAGTGCTAGCTACCGCAGCTGCGGCCGCGCGCACAGAAGCCCCGCGCCGTCCTGAAGAAGAAGCTTTGGCGCAAGCAAGCGCCACTGAGCGCACAGCGCCAGCGGACGACTTCTCTGCTGCAGTTCGGGCTTTGAACTTTTCTCTCTTCTTCTTTGAAGGGCGATTTGGTTTCTTCTTCTTCTCCAACGGTGCAGCCGCAGCTTCTGAGCCTTTTGCACCCTGGCTTTTGACTACAGCAGAGGCCTCAGCAGACACGGTGTGCTGAACAATCACTGCGCCGTCAGGAACTGCTTGCCGTTCATCGGCGCTGCCGCTGTCACTCGAGCCGCCTCTGCCACGTGGCCGCGTCCAAGTGGAAGACTCATCATCGCTCGAGGCCATTGACCAACAAGGTGACTCAGCACCCTTCCTGCAACCAAAAACTGCAAAGACGCGCAAACGATTTCTGAATTGCTACCAGGGCAAAGCAAGATCAACGGTCTAAAGTACCTTTAGGCCTGGGAGAACAAGAGAAGAGAAGTAACAAGAGATGCGTAAAAGCACAATGAAGCATCTGGAGCTGCACTGGGCCTTACTTTAAAGGAAGGATGGCCAACTGTCCGCTCTTGTCAAGTGGCAAAAAAAAAGGCATACATGGACTGAGCAAGCTCACAACCCAACAAAGCCCTCAACCCAAAACAAACACTCACAGGCGCACTGCTTTTCACCCCACAGCTCTGTCAACTGTCCACCTACCAGCAACTGCATTTAGCAAAACCAGATTGCGCGCGTCCTTTGCGCAATCTTCCGCCTTCAGCAAACGAACTGGAGCACTTCTGCCTTGCTGCCGGGCCGGGAAGGGGGACGAGACTCAGAGAGGCTGCGTGTCCTCCTCGTCGCCACACGACCTTCCATTGTCAGCCTCTGGCATGGGACAAGGCGGGCTGCCAGCCAATGGATTGGGCCGGATATCCACAGAAGACAGCCCAGCTGCAAATGCGACACCCATCACCTGAAGCGACATGCCATTGCCCGCCAACCTGCGAACATCACTATCATTGAGCAAAGTCAGCATGTGCTGATAGGGGCAACCATAGAGCCCCTGTTCTTTCTCGTGCAACCAACTCTGAAAGACAGGAATGCCCATGACCCCCAATCCTTCCACTGGAAGGAGTTCACGTTTCCACCGGTAGCTCCATGGAACGCTCCTTGTCATGAGGGACGGCATAAGTTTCTTGACCTTGGAAAAACTGGCCGTCTGCCCTTTCATGGCAATCCCGTCAGCCAAAAAGATGCGATCATCATGAGCATCCTCTCCGCGGCGCAAGAGCTCTTCCACCTCTTGCGTCCGGATTCGGGCAAAGTCGCCGCCACTGAGCAGGTGTTCCATCCCAGCAGACGCTGCCTTCAGCGCTGGCGATCGAACATGGTTCGGGGCAACATCGCTCCCAGTATGGCCCATGGCCTTATGCTGCCTCCGACAAATGTAACTCTGGACCCATGCCTTTGGAGCAGAAAAGAAAACGTCTCCTTCCATAGCAGTTCCCCAGTTGAAAGACTTCAGCGTCTCCACAGTGAAGGGAGGGTTTGCCAGCGGGAGGTCTCTATGGAAGCACCAGGTCAGCATGCGGGGTCGGGTGTATGGCACTCCAAAATCATGAGGCGACATGGGACAAGGGAAAAGCACATAGAGATCACCCAACGCCTTGCGCAAGTTCTCTTCGTTGAAAAGGTGAGTACATTCGTGTAGAAACATGGCTGGCTGACACTTGCGAACTTCTGCCATGAAGATCATGAATGGCAGGGCGGCCTTCCCTGTTAGCTGCCTCTTTGACCCAGTAGGGCACTCATCAGTGCAAGTTGTTCCAGCAACCCACAGCTCAGCGTCACTCTTGCAGTCTGCTGACCGGTCATGAAACAGGCACTGCTTGTCGTGCACAAAGCAATGGCCACACCTTGGCACATCATCAGCCTCATCGAGCATCTTTTCCAAAACCAACTGCATTTCCTCGAACAGCTGAGCGCTCAGCCTTTGCACAACCTCTTTCTTCGCACTCGCTGCCACAGAAGAAGACGCATCTTCAAGTTCCACCTCAATGGAAAGGTCAATCGTCTCAATCTCATCGCTGTCGCCCTCGGCAATGGGCAAAGCAATGTTTGACTGAACCATGCAGGTGGGAACCCTGAGCTCAGCCATTGCATCCTTGTATGCTTTGTCTACCTTGGACTCAATCTCTTTGAGGCTTGCCAAGACTTTTGGCGGCACCCGTTCGCAGATGTCACCAAAAACGTGACCCAAAGAAATGATGACAGGAGCCGCTGGCAGCGTGGGTCAATGTCCGAAGCAGAAAACATATTCAATGACTCGACTGACCTGTGATCAACACCGCATCGCCTAGCCAAGGCCCTCATCAAGGAAAGCAGCGCTTGGCCAGCGCAATCCTGCCCACTGTAGAAGGTCTTGATGGTCAATTTTGACTCCAAAAGAAGATGCTTCAGCCGGTCATAACCCTCAGGGTTCGCATGCAGCAGATCATCTAAGACCCGGTCTGGCCAGCTAAACAAGTCCTGGAGAACTTCCGTTTTCCGATCTCTCGGCTGGGCAGGCGGCTCTGTTTCAACTTCAAAGCTGCAACGCTTTGAGAGCCTCTCCAAGCCCTCTTCATCCAAGTGCATGGCCTCTATGTGGGGCATCCGTTTCATGCTGGCTGACAGGGGCACAAAAGCGGCCGTTGCGCAAATGCCTGTCCAGACTTTTGAGCAGGGAAGCGCGATTCAACACATTTGCATAAACACCCACAACTTGTCTACATGCTCCTTCATAGGAACCCTCATTTGCAAAATCATGACATCTGAGTCTGAGTCTGAATGGTTTGCACTTCCACATACAAGCGTTTGAAACGTTTGTGCACTGAAAGGTGTGAAGACAGCAAAAAGTACAAAACACGTTGACACGCGCGGCAAAAACCTGCTAAACCTTCCAGGACATCCAAACTGGTTGAAAAACATTGAAGCAAGTAGAAAAACATGCAAAACAACAAAAACACACATAAAAGATCAAAAAAACAAAACCGTGTAAAAACGTCAGAATCACAGCAAATGTGAGATTTATTGCACAAAAGACCTAGTATCAACACAAATCTAACTTATTTGGTCATATTATTGCTAGTGTTGGTGGAGTCGGCTTATTCATGTGAAGATATGCGCGGTGGCGTGCGGTGGCGTGCGGTGGGACGTGCGGTGGGACGTGCGGTGGGACGTGCGGTGGGACGTGCGGTGG